AGTATAGACGAAGTATAGACGAAGTATAGACGAAGTATAGACGAAGTATAGACGAAGTATAGACGAAGTATAGACGAAGTGAAGTATAGACGAAGTATAGACGAAGTATAGACGAAGTATAGACGAAGTATAGACGAAGTATAGAATATAGATGAAGTACAGATGAAGTAGAGAATATAGATGAAGTATAGAATATAGGTGAAGTATAGAATATAGATGAAGTATAGATGAAGTATAGATGAAGTATAGTTGCAATAAAGATGAAGTGTAGACGAAGTATAGAATATAGATGAAGTACAGATGAAGTATAGAATATAGATGAAGTATAGACGAAGTATAGATGAAGTATAGATGAAGTACAGATGAAGTATAGAATATATATGAAGTATGGATGAAGTATAGAATATAGATAAAGTACAGATGAAGTATAGATGAAGAATAGATGAAGTATAGATGAAAAATAGACGAAGTATATCTGCGTGCAGTACACCATTAGAAGCAAACCAAGCCTTCTCAAAGATAATCATAGAGCTCAAGAAAGGAGGGTTTAGATACACTCTCAACCTTACATCATTGATAGATGATGATGGGAGAAGGAGGAGGGGGGGGGGGGGTAAAGGTGCCTGGACTTATATTTTTTATCTTATCTTAATAAGAGATTTAATTAAGCAAAATATACTCATCGGATATTAAATATAGTTTAAAATTTGGTATCCAAAAAACTGAACTGAATTGATACCTATAAAAAGGTATCTAGTTAAACCAACATGTGATTTTGGGAAGGGGGGGGGGGGTCCACTAATTCTTTTCTTAGTAATTGATAAAGAACTATCCATCATATCTCAAAAAATGGTGAACTCTTTTTTCAAGATTTTTCCACATTCCCTTTAAACGTCCGTCATTCCCTTTAAACGTCCGTCATTCTCACATAGTCCCCATTTAGAACCTTAATCGATCCTTCTCATCCCTTATTCTTATCTCTCTCATTCCTTCTCTATATTTTTCATCCTTCTCATCCCTTATTCTTATCTTTCTCATTCCTTCTCTATATTTTTCATCCTTCTCATCCCTTATTCTTATCTTTCTCATTCCTTCTCTATATTTTTCATCCTTCTCATCTCTTAATCTTATCTTTCTCATTCCTTCTCTATATTTTTCATCCTTCTCATCCCTATTCTTATCTTTCTCATTCCTTCTCTATAATTTTCATCCTTCTCATCCCTATTCTTATCTTTCTCATTCCTTCTCTATAATTTTCATCCTTCTCATACCTTATTCTTATCTTTCTCATTCCTTTTGTATATTTTTCATCCTTCTCATCCCTTATTCTTATCTTTCTCATTCCTTCTCTATTTTTTCATCCTTCTCATACCTTATTCTTATCTTTCTCATTCCTTCTCTATATTTTTCATCCTTCTCATCCCCATGCATGACTAAACTATTTTAGATTAGGTTAGACTAAGATAGATATAAAAAGGCACGCTTGTTCTAAATATAGTAAAGGGTGGATCAATAAACATAAAAATGAAGTGATGACGACATTAAAATCATCTTCGATATTTGAAAATGAATAAATGATTAAAATATTGATAATTTTATATAACTCCAATAAAGCTTTCTAAAATGGTGAATACAATACAATTGTCTCATTTTAAAGAATAAAGGTGAATTATAAGATTTAAGTCGTTTTGTTCATATTTTTAGATTTAATTGGGACAAAATTATTTTTATATCGATCATTTTGAAAGCGTAACACTATCAGACAGTATTTTCGTACTACCAAAAAGGTGTAAAGGATGTATATTGTTTATTTGCCTATTAAATAATCCTACCTTAATATATATTGGTGAACCCTGTAATACATATTTAATTGATAAATGCGCTAAAAGGTTTAAATGCGATCACACATGCAAACTGCGCTCAGCTAGCAGGCATGGTTGCATCGAGCACGGTGCACTGAATGCAATGGGTTCAATGGTGCATAGCGAGCACATGGGTGCACTTAATCCATGAAGTACTAAATTCCAAGCTAAGGATACAATTCTACCAACTGTCAGGATTTATTAATGGTTTCATGTTTGTGTCTGAATACACTATCGTAGCAGAGTACATAAATGTACTTAAAGGGAGTGACCGGCTATGTAAGGTGGTTGAACTGAGTATGCAGTGTTGTGGAAAACTTCTTTCGGAATCATTTGAGACATATTAAACTTTTTAAAGATCTGTAAATCCTGAGTTTGATCGTAAATTCGATGTTCAAAACTTCTACTTTGCGGTGGATACGCTTTCAGAATTAGTTTTTTAAAGATAATTAAAAAACGATTTCACAAAATGTAAAAAAGTTCTACAATAAACTACAGACGTCATGTATAGGAGCATGTTGAGAAAATAAAAATTAATCTTATCATCGAAAATAAGTAATCTTGTTCAATCATTAGTTTCTATTATCTCATTATTCTGGTTTCTCATGATTCACAAAGTTTTCGCAGATTTTCTAGAATAATAATTGAAAAGACGACATTTGAAGAATTTGAAGAAATCTGTAAATAAATTCAAAGAAAATTAGAAACTCAATATAATAATGAAAACGAAATAATCGATTCTAGCATTGATTTTTTGACAAATTTCTTTTGAGATATATGTTCCTAACCATTTAATTAGATTACTGTATAATTTTTACTTTATTTTTCTTTGTCGTTATTTAATAATTAAACAAAAAACTAATTCTGAAAACGTATCCACCCCCAAATTAGGAGTTTTGAACGTCGAATTTGCGCTCAAACTCAGGATTTACAGATCTTTAAAAAGTGTAATATGTCTCAAATGAATCCGAAAGAAGTTTTCCTCAACACTGCATAATCAGTTCAACCACCTTACATAGCCGGTCACTCCCTTTAAGTAAATATCAAGTACTTTAGTACAAATTAGGTTCTCAAGTACATATCTTGAACTCTGTTGGATTTTATATCTAAATTTTCTAAATTATCTAAATTTTCTAAATTATCTAAATTTTCTAAATTATCTAAATTTTCTAAATTATCTAAATTTTCTAAATTATCTAAATTTTCTAAATTATCGAAATTTTCCTAATTTGACCCTTCTTGGGAACTGAAGATCTTACCTCTCATCCTAGTCTTATATTTTCGATACAAAACGTGAACGTCTATATACCTTTGTTTTAGCAATTCAATCAAGAATGCAAAAGTTATCAATAATTTTCTGTTTTAAAACTGATTATTTTCATTTCTGATTTCTTTAATAATGTGGGTTTCTTTTATAGAAACGATGGGAAAATGGTCAGAAATAAATATCTTTTAATGGAAAACCGGCTGTATTTTCCATGTTTTTTATTGATGATATCGATTATATTGGTTATAAATTAGAGTTATAAGTGTCCTTTCCAAATCCTTTTTTAGCGTTCAATGTCTTCTGCAGCTATCCATCTATCTAGCTGTTTATCTATATGTATATCCATCTGTATAAATCTATGTACTCCTCATCTATCTATCTATGCCTCTATCCTATGTAACTAGGTTTGAAATATTTCACTTTGGTCTCTAATCAAATTCTCATAAAACTGTGCTTCGGGGTTTTAGGGAAAATATTCTTCCCAACTGATATTTTTTTGAAAACTCGGTGAAAGTCTAAGTTTTTCAATGAGGGAGAAAAATCTGTCAAAAAAAAAATTTTGAAAAAAATTGTTTTTCTCTCTATTTAGTTTAGTTGACCAAAGGCTAAAATCTTGACTTTGTGCAAGTTTATGAAGCAGTTTTAAGCAGATTTTTTGCAATAGGGGAGGGTGGAGGGGGGGGGAAGGAGGATACTGACAAAGAATTTGTATTTGCAACATTGACACCCTTAAAATCGATTAGTTGAAGTGCTATAAACAATCTTAGTTAAAACCGACCAACGCTGAAAAAGAACCGGGAATGGTTTATGCGTAGTTGTGCAGGTTTACAACAGACATCTTAGTTTTGCTGGAATATTTGCTTTTTCAAATACTTTACATATACTCTTAATTCATTTGCAAAAAATACCGTTTTTTCATAAAATTTCCTTTTTTATTACGTTTCTTTGTAGTTCTGTATACTCTATAATAGTTCTGTATTTAATAATCTATTATTACATTTCTGTTATCAAATAATCCATCTATTATCTATCTAATAATCTATCTATTATCTATCTAATAATCCATCTATTATCTATCTAATAATCTTATTACTACTTATACTCTTTCTGTTATCTATTTATTAATCTATCTGTTATCTATCTAATATTAATCTATCTATTATCAATCATTATATTATTTATCTAAAAATCTAGCTATTATCTATCTAATAATCTATTTATTCGTCTATCTATCAAGATACAATAAAATATAAAATGTACATTGTACAATATGTACATACATGTCCTTCGGTCTTACCCTCCACTTTTTTGTGTGTATACGTTTATCTACTAAGTAACATCTGTAAATTCGTGAAACTATCAATCTATCCATCTATCCATCTATTTATCTATTTATCTATTTATCTGTGCATCTTCATATATTTACCTTCACACCTAATGTGCAATCGCGATATTTAGCGTAGACGATTTTGTCTTTGTATTTGTATTTGTAAAGTCATATTGGTCTCCTATTCTCCATCTCTTTGATTTCTTATTTTTCTGTTCTCTTCTTCAATAATTGCTCCTCCTGTGTCCGAGTTTAATGAATTTGAGCCGCGTCTTAAATCAGCTAAAAACCGGTTTGAATGGAGCGCCGGCTTAAATCTTGAAACATTGAATACAATTTTAAGTGGAACTAACCATATTTAAGCCGCGACTCAAATTTATGCCACGGCTTAAATTCTTTAAATTCGGCCTCTGTTTTTTCTGTTTCATTGCCTTTTTCATTACTGTTCTCCTGCTTTACCTATATTTTTCTCCTCTTTTCCGTTTTTCTAATATTTTTCCTTATCTCCCTGACTTTTTCTTATTTTGCTATAATTTCTTTACAATACAATCTTAAAATATTTATTTTATGATATTTAAACAATGTTTTTGTACAAAGTCTTATTGTTAATTCTGGCGACAGTTTAGCAACTTAATAAGAAAACTGTTAACTTTCAAGTATAAACGTTACAGTATAATAGTTAGTTACTGTACACAAGTAACATAGTTACTGCACATATAATAGTAACAATGTCAAATAATAATAAAACTAAATAAAATTTTAATTTTTAATGAATTTTAATCTTTTCTCTTGAATTTGTTTAGTTTTGAATACTCCAATTTTAAACTTATTTTAATTCCTTTATTAAGAATCTTCAAAATAAGACGTAACAAGAAGATTTAAAAATATTTCTAAAGTCAAGTTTTTGATATGATTAAACCAATATTTAATTTTAAAATATTTCACCCTTTCAAATAAAGAAACCAAAATAGTTTTATTTGACATCAATATATTAAATATGGGAAAAATTCAAATACACAAACCCACGTAAATCAATCAAGAAATTATATATTAGGACTAAATGATAATACCCATCTTCTCGTTCAGAAATGAATTAATTTCTTAATTTTATTTTAGATAAATAATGTCACCATAAATAAATAGATAAATAAGAATAGATATTGAAATTTTAGCATGATTCAAGTTACAAATCCATGAAATAGATTCAAGGAATTCTAGGAAATTAAACACAAGGAAGTATAGGAGAAGTGTTCTTGGTTAAATACTTATCCTTTTTTCTTTTTGTATTATTTCAAACGAATAGTGATACAAAACAAACAACATACTCGAGCATTAGGATTAAAATAGGAGAAATATCTTAATTAGCAGGATAACATTCCATGGAATAGGTTAAAAAAGAGTAAGAATAGTAGCAGTTGTAAGAATGGACTTAGAATATGGGGAAGGAAGGATTTGGAATAAGAATAGTTATAGAAATAAGAATAGGTATAGGAATAAGAATAAGTTAGGAATAAGAATAAGTTAGGAATAAAAATAGGAATAGAAAGAATTATGAATGATGGAACTCTAGTTTCTGAGTTTTTCTGGGTCTTCTTTCTTCTTTATCTCATTCTTTTCGTCAATATCTTGTTTTCTAAACATTTAGATTATCTTTTAGTTTGTTATAGTTTGTATTTACATCTGGTCTAGCTTGGTCTTCTTTATGTGTTTGTAAACTGTTTAAATGTGTCTGTAAACTGTTTAAATGTGTCTTTAAAATGTTTAAATGTGTCTGTAAACTGTTTAAATGTGTCTGTAAACTGTTTAAATGTGTCTGTAAACTGTTTAAATGTGTCTGTATTTGTAAAATATCAAAAGTATTATGTGTAAAAAAACTGTTTAAATAAGCTTAGTAAACTTTAGTGTGTCCTGGGAGAGAATTGAATGAATTTGAACTGCCTATATCGCAGGATCAACTTTACCAACTCAACTACTTCCTTAATCCTAAACTTTGTATCGGTGGTTCAAATTTAAACCAGAGGTAGGTAGAACAGCGAAGTAGCTCAAATTCATTAAATTCTTTCCCAGGAATTAACCAAATTTTCTAATCCCGATATCTGTGCAACCTGATGGTGAAATCCATTGATATTTGATCTAACAGGATTCATAGTTTGAAATATCAACCACATTGGGTTTCAAAGATATAGGGATTAAAATAATATAGTTTGAGGAAATACTCATTTTCTTTGTTAGGTTAAATATTAGAAATTCATAACATTTATGTTCTTCTCCGTAGGTATTCAATAAGAGAAGTTATGCTTAAAAACATATTAAATTAACAAGTCTTATTACTTTCACATTTCTTAAGTTAAACGTGAAACTTAAAATATCAATCTTTGCACCCCGATGATATACATTTTTTGTTATTTCAAATTTTGACTGTTTAAACTAGTAGATTCCATAGTTCGAAATAATAAGAATCCAAGCTATTAGGTTGAAAAGGATTAGACAAGCTATTAGGTTGAAAATAATAAGAATCCAAGCTATTAGGTTGAAAAGAATCCAAGCTATTAGGTTGAAAAGGATTAGACAACAAGTGTGTGATATATGAAATCAGTTTGTCTAGATTCTATATCTGTGTGTTCACCTGAAAACCAGGGTTTCTAAACTAAGTTCTTCTCTCAGCCTGGACTCTAAAAGATTGAGCCTAGGGGCCCTATCTCGACAAGAACCAGGGGCCCCTTGGTTCATTCCAGGGACCCCTTGATCTTGACTTTCTGATGATACATCATTCTCTTCTGGTTTATGTTTTCTAAACAAATATGTTGATAGATGTTGATATTAATATTATGTATCATTGATATATTTCTTTTGCATATTGATCGACCTCGAAACATTCCACTTTTATGATTTAATTTTGTCTTCAAGTTTCGATTTCTAATAGATTAAAGAAAAAAATAAGATGTTTTGCACGCAAAGAATGTGGATCAGATTCAAGATTGTTGGGTATTGCCGTCCTTCCCTCTGTGAAGGGTAAATACCCTGACCATTTTTGTAAACCCAGAGATGAAAGTTAGAGAAAGAACTTGAGATGATATAGATAAGAATTATCTTACATCACTTCATTGTCAGTTCATTTTATCATCATGATTTAACAACAAGTTAGACGTGGAAAACAAGGATCTAAACTTAAAATAAGCATCGTCATCCTCCCTCCCCCAACCCCTTTTTCAATCATCAGGATAAACTACTCCCCCCCCCCCCCCTGCTTCATTTCGATTTTATGATATCAAAGAATAATTGTTTCTACTAAAATTATAATTTAGATTTTTTATGATCATACATCAACTACCATACTGGATCAAAGCTTTTGAATTTTAAATCTGTTCAGAGCTCAAAACTTTAGAATAGTTGATACCAAGAGCAATGCTTGATCTCCTCTTTTTCTTAATCTCGAGATTAAATAATGCTTGTTCTTCTCTTGTTATTAATCTCCAGATTAATTAACTGATTGGGATTAAGGATATCCCATTCTAAAGTTTTCAGCTCCGGACGTGTTCAATCGGTTGGATACTTTCATTTATTAATCTATTATTCATTCTGAAGATCTTGGATATTTTCAGTGTAATGTTTTGACATAATATTTATGTATTTATTTCATTTGTAAACAAACCTTTCAAGGAGAGGAGATCCTTCTCTTGAATTACTTCTAAAAAAAAAAAAACAATTTTTCTATCTACTGTTTGAATAACTAATGGCCCCCGTTCGATCAAAAAGTTTAAAGTGAAACTTGAATATTTTAAATGTAAGGTGAGAATAGGAAAGAAAAAACGTTAAAAACTAAAAGACGTTATAAAAATAAAAATAGTAAACTATAATGCAGCAATTACAATTGCACTGGTAAACCGTTGCTCTACCGACAAATATCCCCAATAATTAGATTTAAAGAGAACTGTATTCGAATAGTGTTTAACCTAGAGAGAGGTGGCGTGGAGCACAGAGAATCGTTGGAACCTGCTCGGGATAAACTCAAGGAAGATTGTCTTTTCAGCATCAAACCTAGAGTTTGCAAAATTTAATATTTTCTAGGCAACCTAATCCTTTTCAGCATCAAACCTAGAGTTTGCAATATTTATTATTTTCTAGGCAACCTAATCCTTTTCAGCATCAAACCTAGAGTTTGAGATATTTAATATTTTCTAGGCAAACTAATCCTTTTCAGCATCAAACCTAGAGTTTGAGATATTTTATAGCTCTGAAATGGTGTAAAGGGAATGTTCTTCTAAAAATAGAGAATTCAAAATCTTTTTTTTAGATTTGTGGAAAACACTAATATCATATAATTTACAGGAACATCAGATAGAAATGGTAATTAGTTTTTCCTAAATTTCTTTTGAATTTTGATATAATTATATGTTACCTGACATCCTCTTCATTGCTCGTATTGCCTGACCACATCTTTGCCATCTACGCCGCGCAAGAAACTTCCTAAAATTAGGAAAATTTTAAAATGTTTAATTTTTTTTTCAGAAACACAAATAAACAAATAAAAATGGCAATTCTTTCATAAGAACTTTTTAAATATATGAGATAATTTTTTTTAATTCCCGTATGCATTATGCAATGAGTTCATTAACGAAAAAATACTAACAATCCACAACCAACTAATTTGAAATATAAAAATAAATTTGTGACTTCCTTTTTTACAATTGAGGTCAAATATTATAACTACGTCTTTTTTTTAGGTTTTTAAATATCTCCTTCTCAAACACATTATTTTGCATCTTTTTGTGATCCCAGGGGTGTATACTAAATATGCACTTTCATAAAATGGAAAATCATCACAGCGGCGTCAACTAATATATCTCGGTGTACGTTTAGACTAAACTTAAATTGCAATTATGCAAATTTTTTGCACAAATTAATTATCTATATTGCAATAAAGGTATTCAGTACATGCACCCTGTATGTACATTGCATTTAACTAGATGTACCACGCAAATCTGCCCCTTTAGTAAAAGTAAATTGAACCTATATGAAGCAAAAAGTCTGACCGCGCCAACCTTGTTGCACCGGCTAGTCCTGTCAATAGAGCTAGGTACAGTACAAGCTGGGACCGGAAAGGTTGACCCGGCTCGGAATTAAATTCAAATGTACTACGGCTGCCCGTGGTACAATGTACAACAAACGCAATCAGTGGCTACTGTACATTATTTCTATGTACATTTAACATATTCGCGTCTGTTTTAATTTTATTCACAAATTTGTGCTTAATAGATATATCTATAATATACATTGAAGTACTTTCTTGTATCTACATGTGCATTTTGCAGTGTGCAAAACTAAACCTGTTTTGCAGATTAGAAAACAGAATAAATAAACAATCCCTTTAACAAGGTTTGCATCCTGGTCCTTTAAATTCAATTCTTTAAGTTTTTAGTCCAATCATCTCACCCTCAGTAATACTTAGGATTATTGATCACTATAATCATACAGAGGGATGTCAGAGCAGGATATATAATATATAAATATATCTTTACATATATACCAACTCCAAATCAAGATTGGGTTTCTAGCACATTTCATATTTAAACATACAGAATATATGACTAAACTACAGAAATATTAAACATACAGAATATATGGCTAAACTACAGAAATATTAAATCTCTAAATATTGTTGAGACCTGTACATAAAATTATATTGAAATAAAACATTGATTTAGAAAATACTTTTTGCTCAAAACAGTTTTAACATATTTTGTTGGATTAACTGCTAAGGTTCAAATTACGCGTGACTTCGCGCATATGCACAAAAGTGCACTTGCAGATTGTAAACTGCGTATTGTGCCTACATATTTTGCACTAATATGGAGAAATAAAACTGTGCACAAACATGACTTTGAAAAAATTACAAATTTTCATTCATCTGCCCTTTTGTGTGCCGTACTTTTATATTTCTACCCATCATTCTTCATAAAAATCAGGAGGCGCAACTGGGATTTTGAAAGCTGTAGGAAGAAGAGTTTGTTTGTGACATACATTAAGATTGCAAAATGCGGGAAAATAGTACGTTAATACGGAGTTCAAGAGTTTTTCAAATTGTTTTGAGCAAAATCATGTAATTTTTACCAGTTTGTGTGCTTTTGCAACACTTTTAGTTCTTTTACAAGAAGTTAATCATTCACCTATGTATTTATCTATCTTTGTATTTTTATCCATATATCTATCTCTCAATCTATTTATCTATCTATCTATTTATCTATCTATCTAGCTAGCTATCTATATAGCTATCTATCTTATATCTATCTATAGATAAACTGTTAAATTCCCAAATATTTAAATGATAAAGATTGTCTGAGTTAACCTTAGTGAACCCTGAAATGAGTGAAATCTATAAAATATTCAGCTAATCATCCTTTGTTTAAGTACTTCGGTC